TAATGGGCATTGACCTTGAGTTTTGGAGTTGTAGTTCACCTCCATCCAGAGAGCACTGTGGACTCAAACAAGGATAGATCTGGACCAAACGAATACTCATTCTGTCCAAATGTAAACACTGGTGGAGTTTGGGGAAAATAGACCTTGTCATTTGGGAGTTGTAGTTGCTGACATTTATAGTTCACCTACAATCCAAGAGCGTTCTCAACTCCACCAACGATAGAATTGGGGCAGACTGAAAGACCCTCTTCTACACAACTATTTAAGGTACAGGAGACTCGTCCTGCAATTCAATTGGCAATCTCATTCCAGTTCTCCAGAGATGGTGGGCACAACTGAAAGACCCTCTTGTACACAACTATTTAAGGTACAGGAGACTCATCCTGCAATTCAATTGACAAACTCGTTCCAATTCTCCGGAGATAGTGGGCACAACTGAAAGACCCTCTTGTACATAACTATTAAAGGTACAAGAGTCTCATCCTGCAATTTAATTGGCAACTTCGTTCCAATTCTCCGGAGATAGTGGGCACAACCGAAAGACCCTCTTCTACTGTCACCCAAAGCAGTTGCTCTACTCCGAACTCAAGAACAGAAAACAGAATGTTSTGTRGAACCCCCTWGRMMAASAGATTGAAAKACTGKGYTYWMWGMYRAYCTTYRAWGACCCCTCTGRCATMSMCWCTGWGAMCTSSSAAGCCMKGGSYCYTGASTGCYCCAGSTKGWGRTCARCWSTGAYTCAGCAGTGMTSCMKMRTYYGAAKAGGAWKGWMTKSCAGGRYSARWGWGWKARWSGKKCCRTAGRKGAMKGYGMAKCMTGCYAWYCTYGACCKGSAYSKYCTYCYRCMKKGARRSCAWTGSYYTCMMKGYRGRAGRMSRTSCMGGTCRAGRWTRGSATGMTKCRCMKTCMYCTWSGSACSYWCTMWCWCWYTSRYCCTSSAWKACMWTCCTMTTCRRAYKMKGSAKCACTGCTGRATCASWGYTKMYCAMCAGCTGGRGSACTCARGRSCCMKGGSKKCCCAGKTCWCAGWGKSKATGYCAGAGKGGTCATYRAAGRTYRKCWKWRARCMCAGTMTTTCAATCTSTTKKYCWAGGGGGTTCYACMGAACATTCTGTTTTCTGTTCTTGAGTTCGGAGTAGAGCAACTGCTTTGGGTGACAGTAGAAGAGGGTCTTTCGGTTGTGCCCACTATCTCCGGAGAATTGGAACGAAGTTGCCAATTAAATTGCAGGATGAGACTCTTGTACCTTTAATAGTTATGTACAAGAGGGTCTTTCAGTTGTGCCCACTATCTCCGGAGAATTGGAACGAGTTTGTCAATTGAATTGCAGGATGAGTCTCCTGTACCTTAAATAGTTGTGTASAAGAGGGTCTTTCAGTTGTGCCCACCATCTCTGGAGAACTGGAATGAGATTGCCAATTGAATTGCAGGACGAGTCTCCTGTACCTTAAATAGTTGTGTAGAAGAGGGTCTTTCAGTTGTGCCCAATATCTCTGGAGAATTTGAACGAGGTTACCAATTGAACTGCAGGATGAGACTCTTGTACCTTCAATAGTTGTGTACAAGAGAGTCTTTCAGTTGTGCCCACTATCTCCGGAGAATTGGAACGAGGTTGCCAATTGAATTGCAGGATAAGGCTCTTGTACCTTTAATAGTTGAGTAGAAGAGGGTCTTTTGGGCATGCCCACCATCTCTGGAAGACTGAAATTGGGTTGTCAATTAAATTATGGATTAGGCTCTTGTAGTTTTAATAGTTCTGTGATTCTTATACTTTTAATAGTTCTGTGTAAGAGGGACTTTCTGTAGATCGCCCCATCAAAGGTAGGGCTGGGCTATAGTAGAAGGAATTTCTGGAGACATCCAAGACAAGACATCCAAGGGGTGTATCTATACCAGGCATGGACAAACTTTGGCCCTCCAGGTGTTTTGGACTACAACTCCCACAATTCCTAACAGCCTCGGGCCCTTTCCTTTTCCCCCTCGGCCGCTTAAGCGGCCGAGGGGGAAAAGGAAGGGGCCCGAGGCTGTTAGGAACTGTGGGAGTTGTAGTCCAAAACACCTGGAGGGCCAAAGTTTGTCCATGCCTGATCTATACTGTGGAATTAATCCACTTTGATACCTGTTTAACTGCCGTGGCTCAGCGAATCCCAGCTCATATTTTTCGTTAGGAAACCAAACTTTTCCAAAGTTGGAGCCGAAACACTTGTGTAGTTCTTGACTGCAAAGATTTGAACGCAAACCTTCTTTTGTGCCGCACCTCCAAAAAAACCAATTGTCTCCGCTTTAGAAATATATGTGATTGGAGTTTCAATTTTCCATTTTATTTTCGGACGGAGCCTTCTCTCCCTCCCTGCAGTTGTACAAAGAACTCCGTGGATTTTAATTATAACTCCGGCAAGAGAGTCGGCCGTAATTGAGCTAAATTTGTGTCCTCGTTTATGTTAATATTTTCTTGCAATTAGCGGCTTTTTAGAAAGATCCCCTCGCTTGGAGCTCAGCTTCTTTTCTGCTGCTTCGGAGGCATTGTCAGCGTGCTTTTCCATGCCATCTCTTTCCCAACAAGGAAGGCGCTTGGAGAGGCTGCAGCAGGTTACTTTTGCCCAGGTTCGTTGGGAAGAATAAGGCAAATCCTTCTTTCTCCTCTCCTCTTGTCCTGTATTAATTGAATGCAAGCTGCTTTAGACCCTTGAATTCAGTTTGCAGCAATTTAAAGTAAGCTGAGAACTAAGGGGGAAAGTTGGAGGAAGAGAGAGAAACCGGGACATTTTAAAACCCACTGGAAAAGTGGGACGATAGAGAAGTAATTAGGTCTGTTCCTGCTGAATTTGAATACAGATGGAAGGGTTGTTATTATTGGAAAGGTGGTTGTTGTTGTTGTTGTCGTTACTGTGCACCTTCTTTGAATACAGCAGGTGGGAGTGTTGTAGTAGTAGTGGTAATAATTGTTGTTATTGTTGTTGTTGTGTACCTTCTTTGAATACAGTAGATGGAAAGGTTATTGTTGTTGCTGTGCACCTTCTTTGAATACAGTAGATGGAAAAGTTGTTTCTGTTGGGTTGTTGTTGTGCGCCTTCTTTGAATACAGTAGATGGAAAGGTTGTTGATGTTGTTGTGCACCTTCTTTGAATACAGTAGATGGAAAGGTTGTTATTATTGTTGCTGTGCACCTTCTTTGAATACAGTAGATGGGAGGGTTGTTGTTGTTGTTGTGCGCCTTCTTTGAATACAGTAGATGGAAAGGTTGTTGTTGTTGTCCTGCATCTTCTTTGAATACAGGAGATGGAAAGGTTGTTGTTGTTGTTGTTGTGCACCTTCTTTGAATACAGAAGGAAAGGTTGTTGTTGTTGTTGTGCACCTTCTTTGAATACAGTAGATGGAAAGGTTGTTGCTGTTGTTGTGCACCTTCTTTGAATAATGGAGATGAAAAGGTTGTTGTTGTTGTGCACCTTCTTGGAATACAGTAGATGGAAAGGTTGTTGCTGTTGTTGTGCATCTTCTTTGAATACAGTCATTCCAAAACTAATGAAATACCTGGGAGTGTGGTGGAATTTCATTACCTAAGCACAGTCTGGATGTCCATCTGTCGGGACATACCTGGAAATGTGGTGGTTTATAAACACAGTCTGGATGGCCATCTGTTGGGAAAGCTTTGATTGTGTCTTCCTGCCTGGCAGAAGGGGGTTGGCCTGGATAGCCTTTGAGGATCCCTTCCAAATCTAGTAAAATATGGAATACCTGCGAATGTGGTAGAATTTGGTTCTCTAAGCACAGTCCGGATGTCCATCTGTCAGGAGGGCTTTAATTGTGTCTTCCTGCATGGACTGGATGTCCTTTAGAGGTCCCTTCCCACTCTATAATTCTGTATCAATGATAGTGAGGGTCGATATTAATCATCCCTGATTGGAGTGGAAACCAGGCACAGACGCAGCCATAAACCCTATGAGTTTGGGATTTGTAACTCTCCAAGGTTCGCTTGCCTTGAGCCCGTCTCTCACTCCCGCAGTTGGATCTTGGGATTTCTTGCTCGGCACGCAGCCCTCCTTTTCCGCTTGGCTGCTCTTGATTGTCGCTCAGCAAGAGGCCGAATTGACCGGGGAAAATGGGGAGCCAAAAGAGGAGGTGAATGCAAAGTGTGCCAAGAGGATTGAGAAGGACTTGGAGGACGCAATAGGAGCCTCTTTCTATAAGGTTTCCATAGGGAAGAGGGACCCAAACATCTCACTAGCCAAGGGTGCATCTACACTGTGGATTTGATCCAGTTTGATTCCACTTGAATTGCCACGGCTCATTGCGATTGAATCCTGGGAGCTGTAGTTTGGTGCGCTTTATGGCAGGGGAGACCTTGCAAAACTACATCTCCCAGGGTGTAAATAAACATAGAGATAATAATAATACCTGGAGAAAGCAGGGTGTAAATAAACATAATAATAATAATAATAATAATAATAATAATAATAATAATAATAATACCTGTTGAGGGTTCCTATGCCATTCATGGGTTGCATCTATTCCAGTCCTCCGAGTGTTTTGGACTTCAACTCCTACAATTCCGGCTGTTAGGAATGGTGGGAGTTGGAGTCCAAAACACCTGGAGGGCCAAATTTTGCCCATGACTGATAGACACTGTCGAATTAATGAAATGAGAGCATGCTGCCAGGCGAAATGCACAACTAGGCTCCTGGAGAAATCAAAAACAGCGCTCCTGCGTCTTTAATAGTGGGACAGAAGAGGGAATTCCTGGCTAAATCCAAGGGGTGCGTCTACACTGTGGACTTAATCCACTTTGGTACTTCTTGAAGTGGCAAGGTACAATACTATGGGATTTGGGGAGTTGTAGTGTGTATGCACTCTGCAAGATGCATTCCCAATCCTGAGGGAGGAAAAAAGCAGAGTGTTGTTGTTGTTGTTAAACAATAATCATTCAATACAAAATGCAAATGGGAATGACTCCTGACCACAACTCTGCCTTTTCTGTTTCCCAAGGTTGTGGCTTTCCCTCGTCTCCAAGATGCTCTGACGCTGAGCTCCCAAATTGGAAGGTTCCCGAATCACGATGGCGGCTCTTTACGGCAGCGAAGTCAAATGCGTCAGCGTCGAGTGGGACTTTCTGCAAGGCCTCCTTGTCAAGAACCAGCCAGTGCCCTGGTAAGTCGGGGCTGAATCTTTAGATAGATAGATAGATAGATAGATAGATAGATAGATAGATAGATAGATGATAGATAGATAGATAGGATAGATAGGTGGATGAATGGATTGAGAGAGAGAGAGAGATGGATACATAGGTAGATGGATGGAAAGAAGGATAGGTGAGTGGGTGGGTAGGTGGGTGGATGGATGGATGGATGGATGGATGGATGGATAGATAGATGGATAGATGGAAAGATAGGTAGATGGATAGATAGGTAGATGGATGGAAAGAAGGATAGATGGGTGGGTGGGTGGATGGATGGTTAGGTAGATAGATGGATGGATGGATAGATGAATAGGTATATGGATGGAAAGAAGGATAGGTGGGTGGGTGGGTGGATAGGTAGGTAGGTAGGTAGATGGATGGATGGATGGATGGATGGATGGATGGATGGATGGATGGGTGGATAGACAAATAGTTGGGTGGATGGATAGGTAGATGGATAGTTGGATGGATGGATCGATGGATGGATAGGAATGTTATATAAACCGCTTCGAGTCGCCTTTTTAGGCTGATATTTGCGGTATACAAAAGAAGTAAATAAATAATAAATAATATATATAAAGAGAGATACACGGAAGGTTGGACTGGATAGCCCTTGGGGTCTCTTCCAGCTCTAGGATTCTATGATACATATGAGTATATAGGTAGGTAGATAGGTGGATGGGTGGATGGATGGATGCCTAGGTATATGATATAGATATATACACACATATACACAGAAGGTTGGACTGGATAATCCTTGGGGACTCATCCAACTTTATGATTCTATTTTTATGACCTGAATAGCTTTTGCAAGTCCCCTCCACCCCTTACATCTCCCTTCAAAGTAGACTTGGAGGTACTCAGATACCATCTCCATACAATTCTAGAGTTGGAAGAGACCCCAACCCCTTCTACCAAGCAGGAAAAGCACAATCAAAGCACCCTCAACAGATGGCCATCCAGCCTCTGCTTCAAAGCCTCCAGAGAAGAAGGTCTAGAGGAGGACACCCTTGGGGTTCAGTTCTGCTCCTCAAGCACCTTCTCTGCTTCTCCTCCAGCCTCCAGGCCCTACGGAAGGAGAAGTCCCGCAACGCAGCGCGCTCCCGCCGGGGCAAGGAGAACTTTGAGTTCTACGAGTTGGCCAAGATGCTGCCGCTGCCCGGAGCCATCACCAGCCAGCTGGACAAGGCCTCCATCGTCCGCCTCACCATCAGTTACCTCAAGATGCGGGACTTTGCCAGCCATGGAGACCCTCCTTGGAACCTGCGGGCGGAAGGGCTCCCCCCACCTGGCAAAGGTAAGACGGAGCTCTTCAGCTGCCAAGGGAATCTGGAGTTCTCCTTGGCGCCATTGTTTATCTGTTTGTTTGTTTACAATATGCCTTACCTTCCAACAATGGGACTCAAGGCAACTAGTGTCATATTTGAAAACAAGACAAAGAGTGGGAGAAGTAGGCAAAGGGTGCATCTTCTACACAATGTGAATCACTGTGGGAGCTTTAGCTCGGCAGGGAAGACTAAAGAGCTTGTAAAACTACAGTTCCCAGGATTGCATAACATTCAGCCATGGTGGTTAAAGTGGTGCCAAACTGCATCCATTCTACAGTGTAGATGCAGCTACCTATTTTTACAAGGTCTTTACCCTTTTCTGCTTGGGGTCTTACCAAACTACAACTCCCAGGGCTCTGTAGCAAAGAGACATGACACTTCATATGGTGCCAAACTGCATCCATTCTACAGTATAGACACACCTACCTATTTTAACAAAGTCTTGAGCTTTATCTGCCTGGGGCCTTGCCAGACTACAACTCCCAGGACTCTGTAGCACAGAGCCATGACACTTCAAGTGATGCCAAACTGCATCCATGCTAGATGAATCTACCTATTTTTTACAAGGTCTTTACTTTTATCTACCTGGGGCCTTGCCAAACTACAACTCCCAGGACTCTGTAGCACAGAGCCATGACACTCCAAGTGTTGCCAAACTGCATTCATTCTATAGTGTAGATGCGCCAACCTGTTTTTACAAGGTCTTTAGCTTGTATCTGCCTGGGATCTCGCCAAACTACTACTCCCAGGGCAGAGTGTCTGCTGTGGACTCATCTTGTGGTGTTTCTAATAATAATAATAATAATAATAATAATAATAATAATAACTCCAGACATTTGGGAAGTGTCTGACATGTGATCCAATACATCAGCCAGCAGAGTGTCTGCTGTGGACTCATCTTGTTGTGTTTCTAATAATAATAATAATAAAAATAATAATAATAATAATAATAATAATAATAATAATAATAATAACTCCAGACACTTGGGAAGTGTCCAACGTGTTTCTAATAATAATAATAATAATAACAACAACTCTAGACACTTGAGAAGTGTCTGACGTGTGATCCAATACAACAGCCAGCAGAGTGTCTGTTGTGGACTCATCTTGTTGTGTTTCAAATAATAATAATAATAATAATAATAATAATAATAATAATAATAATGATAATGATAATAATAACTCCAGACACTTGGGCAGTGTCCGACGTGTTTCCAATAATATATTTATATATTAATAGATATATAATATATATTAATATATTAATAATAATAATAATAATAATAACTCCAGACACTTGGGAAATGTCCGATGTGTGATCGAATACAACAGCCAGCAGAGTGTCTGCTGTGGACTCATCTTGTTGTGTTTCTAATAATAATAACAACAACAACAACAACAACAAAAACAAAAACAATAATGATAACAACTCCAGACACTTGGGAAGTGTCCGACGTGTTTCTAATAATAATAATAATAATAATAATAACAACTCTAGACACTTGGGAAGTGTCCGACGTGTGACCCAATACAACAACCAGCAGAGTGTCTGCTGTGGACTCATCTTGTTGTGTTTCCAATAATAATAATAATAATAATAATAATAATAATAATAATAATAACAACTCTAGACACTTGGGAAGTGTCCGACGTGTGACCCAATACAACAACCAGCAGAGTGTCTGCTGTGGACTCATCTTGTTGTGTTTCCAATAATAATAATAATAATAATAATAATAATAATAATAATAATAATAACAACAACAACTCCAGACACTTGGGAAGTGTCCGACGTGTGATCCAATACAACAGCCAGCAGAGTATTGTCAAAGTCTTTCATGGCTGGAATCACTAGGTTCTTGTGGGTTTTTTCGGGCTATATGGCCATGTTCTAGAGGCATTTCTCCTGACGTTTCGCCTGCATCTATGGCAAGCATCCTCAGAGGTAGTGAGGTCTGTTGGAACTAGGAAGGGTTTATATATCTGTGGAATGACCAGGGTGGGACAAAGGACTCTTCTCTGCTGGAGCTAGGTGTGAATGTTTCAACTGATCACCTTGATTAGCATTTGAAGGCCTGGCTGAGCCTGGGGGAATCTTTTGTTGAGAGGTGTTAAGCTGTGCCTGGTTGTTTCCTCTCTGCTGTTTTGCTGTTGTAATTTTAGAGTTTTTTAATACCGGTAGCCAGATTTTGTTCATTTTCATGGTTTCCTCCTTTCTGTTGAAATTGTCCACATGCTTGTGGATTTCAATAGCTTCTCTGTGTAGCCTGACATGGTGGTTGTGAGAGTGGTCCAGCATTTCTGTGTTCTCAAATAATATGCTGTGTCCAGGTTGGTTCATCAGGTGCTCTGCTATGGCTGACTTCTCTGGTTGAAGTAGTCTGCAGTGCCTTTCATGTTCCTGATTCGTGTTTGGGCGCTGCGTTTGGTGGTCCCTATGTAGACTTGTCCACAGCTGCATGGTATATGGTAGACTCCTGCAGAGGTGAGAGGATCCCTCTTGTCCTTTGCTGAACGTAGCATTTGTTGGATTTTCTTGGTGGGTTTGTAGATTGTTTGTATGTTGTGTTTCCTCATCAGCTTCCCTATGCGGTCAGTGGTTCCCTTGATGTATGGCAGGAACACTTTTCCTCTGGGTGGATCTTCATCTTTACTCTCGTGGCTTGTTCTTGGTCTTGCAGCTCTTCTGATGTCTGAGGTGGAGTCTCCATTGGCCTGGAGAGCCCAGTTGAGGTGGTTCAGTTCATCTTGGAGGAGGTGGGCTTCGCAGATTCTTTTTGCACGGTCTGCCAAGGCTTTAATGGTGCTTCTTTTGACTTGGGTGATGGTTGGAGTTTTTATGTAGATATCTATCTCTGTGTGTGGGTTTTCTGTAAACGGTGTGACCCAATTGTTGATCTGGTTTGCGGATGACTAGGACATCTAGAAAAGGCAGTCTTCCTTCTTTTTCTTTTTCCATAGTGAACTGGATGTTGGGTGGATGCTGTTAAGATGGTCCAGGAACCTGTTGAGTTCTTCTTCTCCATGGCTCCAAATGGTGAAAGTGTCATCCACATATCTGAACCATATCGTGGGCTTTTTGGTTGCTGTTTCAAGAGCTTGTTTTTCAAATTGTTCCATGTAGAAGTTAGCTATGACTGGGCTGAGAGTAAAGATAAGATCCACCCAGAGGAAAAGTGTTCATGCCATACATCAAGGGAACCACTGACCGCATAGGGAAGCTGATGAGGAAACACAACATACAAACAATCTACAAACCCACCAAGAAAATCCCACAAATGCTACGTTCAGCAAAGGACAAGAGGGATCCTCTCACCTCTGCAGGAGTCTACCGTATACCATGCAGCTGTGGACAAGTCTACATAGGGACCACCAAACGCAGCGCCCAAACAAGAATCCAGGAACATGAAAGGCACTGCAGACTACTTCAACCAGAGAAGTCAGCCATAGCAGAGCACCTGATGAACCAACCTGGACACAGCATTTTATTTGAGAACACAAAAATGCTGGACCACTCTCACAACCACCATGTCAGGCTACACAGAGAAGCCATTGAAATCCACAAACATGTGGACAATTTCAACAGAAAGGAAGAAACCATGAAAATGAACAAAATCTGGCTACCAGTATTAAAAAATTCTAAAATTGCAACAGCAAAAACAGCAGAGAGAAAAACAGGCAGGGACATCTAATCACCCTTCAAGAAGAGTTTGCCCCAGGCACAGTCAGCCCATTGTATGCTAATCAAGGTGGTCAGTTGAAAGATTTACACCCAACCCAACTTACAAAAGCCTTTTGTCTCACCCTGGTCATTCCACAGATATATAAACCCCTTTTTTCCCAGCTCCAGCAGACCTCACCCCTGAGGATGCCTGCCATAGATGCAGGCGAAACGTCAGGAGAAATGCCTCTAGAACATGGCCATTTAGCCCGAAAAAACCCACAAGAACTGAGTTCTCTAATACTTTTGAGATCTGTGTGCCAAGTTTGGTTCAATTCCATTGTTGGTGGGGTTCAGAATGCTCTTTGATTGTAATGAACTATAAATCCCAGCAACTACAACTCCCAAATGTCAAAATCTATTTTCCCCGAACTCCACCAGTGTTCACATTTGGGCATATTGAGTATTTGTGCCAAGTTTGGTCCAGATCCATCATGTTGAGTCCACAGTGCTCTCTAGATGTAGGTGAACTACAACTTTCAAACTCAAGGTCAGTGCCTACCAAACCCTTCCAATATTTCTGTTGGTCATGGGAGTTCTGTGTGCCAAGTTTGGTTCAACTACAACCTTGATGGAGTTTGAAATGCTCTTTGATTGTAGGTGAACTATAAATCCCAGCAACTACAACTCCCAAATGCCAAGGTCTGTTTCTCCCAAACTCCACCAGTGTTCACATTTTGGGCATATGGAATATTCGTGCCTAGTTTAGTCCAGATCCATCATTGTTTGAGTCCACAGTGCTCTCTGGATGTAGGTGAACTACAACTCCCAAACTCAAGGTCAATGCACACCAAACCCTTCCAATATTTTCTGTTGTTCATGGGAGTTCTGTATGCCATGTTTGGTTCAACTACAACCTTGATGGAGTTTGGAATGCTCTTTGATTGTAGGTGAACTATAAATCCCAGCAACTACAACTCCCAAATGACAAAATCAACCCTAACCCTAACCCCAACCCCAGCAGTATTCAAACTTGGGCGTATCAGGTATTGGTGAAAAATTTGGTACAGTGAATGAAAATACATCCTGCATATTAGATATTTACATTACGAATAGTAGCAAAACTACGGTTGTGAAGTAGCAATGAAAATAATTTGATGGTTGGGGGTCACCACAACACGAGGAACTGTATTAAGGGGTCGCAGCATGAGGAAGGTTGAGAACCACTGCTCTAGACACTTGGGAAGTGTCCAGCGTGATTATAATAATAATAATAATAATAATAATAATAATAATAATAATAATAAT